AGGATGCATGCCTAGAATGTGCAAGATTTGCTCCCCTGTAGCACTAAATGGATAATTGCACAGTCGATGAATCCCAGCAGGGAGAAACTGGCAGCAGGGACATCATGGTGAGGCCTCATGGAGAAGGACTTACATGCAGTGTAAGCCCCACAGAGGCAGGGACCTAGCTAGTATTGCTCACCACTTGAGTCCCAAAGCCTGAAAAGAAGGCCCAAGGGTGTGAGAATCTGTGCAACAAACTGTTCTTGAATGAATGAACAAACGAACAAACTGAGGCAGGATGCTTAAACGTGAGTGGGGTCTGGGCAGCTGGATGGCACACTACAAAGAGCAATGAATTGGGGTCAGAAGACCCCAGCTCAATTCCCTGCCCTTCTAACTACTGGTGGAACTCGTATTTCACTGCACTCTTGGTGCAAAGAGAGCTTTGAAGATGTTCCTAGCTCCTCCAGCCCCAAAGCTATGGGAGTCTAAGATCTGCTTGGTCTGACGCAGGTCTTCCATCCCTCACACTAAACCCCTGACTCCTTGAGTTACCCTGAACATGGCCAGTGCTCCCTCATCTCCAGCATTTTTCTCATGTTACTCTTTACCTTACCAGCATTACAAAATCCCTCGCGAAAGGAGATTGCTTGCAAGGCAAAGATAAGTGCTACCCTAGGCTCTCTCCTAAGCTCCCTCTCCTTTCCTCAGAGGTGATTACCACCTGAGGAAGTGGATTAATCCTGGGGTGCCTTGCAACCATTATCTTGATTTCACATGTCTGTCTCCTATCTCCCAGACAAATTTGATCTCCACATAGCATTCCAGCATGCCAGAGGTTAAGAATCTCCATAAATATCTCTTTGCTTCATTGGATTTAAATGATAACTGAGCTCAGTAGAATTTAACTTTACCTTTTCTCATCAGATTAATTTTACTGAATTTATTAGAAAGGCAAGCAACATTAGCAAAAGGACTTGAGCTAGAAAAAGCCCTCCTCAGGCTCAACGGGTGAGTTTGAGTATGTCACTGGATCCACCGACTCCTTAAGTAGAACTGACCAGGCACAGGGAATCAGAGTGAAAGGAAAGAGAAGGAAACTTGGAGATTTCCAAACATCCTGGAGCTATTTTTGGAAATCAATAACTTTTCCATTCACTTTTCTTAAACAAAAAGTAGGAAGGAAAAAAGAAAAAAGAAAGGAAGTAAGGAGAAGAAAGACAGTAGGACAAGAAATGGTTGTTGACCAAGTAAATGGAAGCAAGAGAAGATTCTTCTAGCAGCTAAATCTGACACTTTAAAAGCGAAACACTCTCATGTTCATACAAACACTATCTACAATCTTTAAAAGTGAAAAATATACAAATGATTAGTTGTTTATCAGAAAGTTTAACCTGGACAGTTCATATAACCCAGAAATAGAATCTATGGGATAAATACTCACACTTCTATTAATAATCAATAAAGATTTGAATGCTATCTGGTTCTGCTATACAGGGCTCCAACCTGGCAAATTCCAGAACCAAGGCTGTTTTCTCCTTAAAGCAAAAGCCTGGAGTCGAATACTCCCCTGACTCACGCATGTAATAAATTTGGTGTGTTCTTTTTCCTGTTTAAAAAAAAAAAAAAGGAAAGCAAAACCCTGCTGAGAAGGCTTTTAATATACCACAGAATTCCTTCATGTGGCACAGGTCAACTCCCATTTAGTGAACAAATGGATCCCCAAAAGCTCATGTCATGACATAATCTTGGTCTGCCACCATCATAATCATTTATTCAGCCTTGATCGAAAGTCTAATTTTGCCCACCATTTTTAAGATGCTAGAGCCGGCCATTTCCAGCACTGTACAACTCCAACTGGTCTACAGGAAACAGAATATTCAGTTTCAACAACTGAGTCCTTCTACAGGATAATATCAAAAGAACACACATACACAGATATTGAAGGCCCTGAACTATTACAAAGGTGGCAAAAATTTTCTTTCCATATTTTCTGCCCAAATGGTATGTGCTCTTAATAAGGTGGCCATTGTACTGAGTTAATACATGCAAAATATGTGTGCCACTAATGTAAACCACACAGGACTTAGGCAAGGAATCTACTCAAGCCATAGAAATGGCAAATGAACTTTGTAACCAAGTTTTGAGATACAATTCCCTTCCAGTAACAATGAAATTTATATGCACAGTATGACTGTATAAAATAATGAATTTAAACCTAAGGGAGGTTCACAATCAAACTCAAAAATTCTGTTTATAAAATATTGAGATGTTTTCCACATCTGTAGCCACATCTGTAAAGATGTTTCCTTAAACTTGCATCCTCTTTGCTGTAACTTTATTAAGTACAGTAACAATAATTCAGAACATGGGGAATAAATACAACAGTGAATGGAATTACTATAACACTCTAGAAGAGATTTTGTTTACATCAATGGGCCCTTGGTTATTCTGCTTACAGCAGCACATTTCATGCTATCATAGTTTTTGCTAAATCACATGTGAAACTATATTTAAGGTCAACAATTTTTACCTAACCTACTGCATTCATTTATTCCTCTGTAATTCCATTGTCTTAAAAAATCTATTATTTGCTTCTCTCCTCTCAGTTCTCTATTTGGAAGCTGATCGGTGAAAGTTCTCATTTCTTAAGCACTAGTTTCCCACTGTGTGAATCCAATACACGACTGAAAAAGTACTTTAACTGTCAGATGCACATGGATAAAACACGGCTCTGACATACAGTTCTGTCCATATAATAAAAGTTAATTACAACTTTAAAGGCTTACCATTCACCTATAAAAATCAGCAACGTAGTACTTTGAAAGAGGAAGAAGAATGACTATTACACCCTTCAACAGACTCTACTGAAATGTTTGTGGCTTGCTGAACATTCCATACATATTTTGGGCAAGGTATTATGGGAGCTGAAGTTCAAGCTGTCCCCAGTTGAATTTTTACTCACTATGAAAACAATGTCTCATAAAAGTACACACATGCTTTTACTTTACAAAAAATGTAAAATATCCACTTTTGTTCATTCAATCAACACTTAGCATTAGAAACAGGACTCTTCTAAAACTTACAACATAACTGATGTCTGAAAAGAGTATAAATGGTATTCAGTAATAAACAGATTTCTACAAAGAACGCAGAAAATATGTATGAAATGGAAATGATTCTACAAGCTCATTTCTGTAGGTTCTACATACCTATCACAGGTTATACCATTAAAACAAAAATTCTTACATTTTTATTTTCATCAAGAATCCCCATTCCATTCAACCACAACTGTTTTATATTACCCTCATAAAACGAGCCTTAGCTTTTTCTAAGCAAAACACTATTTTTAATTGGTTCATTTTCCAGTTGTTTGGGCTTTTAACAGACATACAGTACAAAAGGGCGCCACATTCCAAGCGGTTCTACCAATTCCAGAACCATCTAAGGTTTGATCAAACAGATGTGGCTCTAGCATTTGGTTAAAATTATAATATGATGTCACTTGATTTTCAAAATAACTAAGCATCTTTTTAACCCATAAAACTGCGCTAGGATGTATGCAGGTTTCGGAATCCAGAGGTCTGCAATGGTTAGAGAGAATGTTAGGGAATCATGATCCTTTTGTTTTGCTTTTTTCCTATCTGAACCCAGCGAAATCTTCAAATAAGTCAGCAGCTTCCCTCCTCAAAAGTTTATTTTCAAACGCCAGTGCCATGCCGGCTGCCTTTCCTGTGTAGGTGGGAGGAAGTAGGCACAATGTCACCACACTGGGCCTTTTCAAGTCTTGAAATCACTAGGAAGCCTGCACTATTTCCTTTCTGGCACTCAGGCCAGGGTGGAGAGAAGCTGCTCTAGAGAGGACAAGATATCAGATAACCAGTGGAAACACTTGGGTTTCAACAGAATTCCCACTTCCACAAAAAATACAAGTCTCCAAAAGCAGCTGAATCACTGGAGTCCGTAGACAACAGCAAAAGTTAAGGAAAACACTTCATTACGTGAAATTCATTAAATGAAATCTGGAAATGCTTTTAGAAGAGTCTGTTTTTACTCGATCAGATTTATTTACATTAATAAAAGAACAACTTCTTGCCCCATGTATATCTTGCACAAAAAGGAAAATTAAAATACAGCCCTTGTTTTTCACTTATTCCAAAAGCATATGGGACTAATCATATTCCATTCTGGCCGCAGCACACTAGGCTATTTCAAACAGGGTTTTAACTCTTGTTTTAAGGCACTAGAGCAAACAACAGAGTTTGGGAACAGTCTCTCCAACTCCAAAAAGAGCCGGGAATCCCTGAAGTGCCTATCTGGCATCAGGCTTTGGGTGGAAAGCAGGCTGAGCCCGCCAGGCAAGGAACCCAAGCCCTGACGCTGGGGCGCACGGCTGTGAACCTAGGTGACAGCTCATCTCACCCCTACGGAGCCGGTAATGCCTGCACAGCCAAAGCCGGGGCGGTGGGCCATAGTAGCCCGGGACAGAGATGGGCGAGGCCATCACAGAAAGAGGAAAAGATGGCCATCCGTCAACCCCGGGAGAGGAAATTCCAGGGGCCCAGTTCCCAGGCCCCGGACAGCGGGTGACGTGAGGAAACCAAATCAGTGTCCGGCCCGTAACAGAGGACGAGGCTCAAAGCTCCGGGGAGCGGAGGCCTCCATCCTCATCCTCCGCCCGATCTCCGGGAATGGGGGAGGGGGTGTATTCTCGCCCCAAACTCGGGGGCGCACGCACGAACTTCGCCCAGACCCGGGGGCCTCCCGCTGTACTCGATCCTCCCCTGGGCCCATGGGGTGGAGACACCACGATCATAGCCCGGACTAGAAAGCACTTGGCGAGTCCCAGCCCCAGGGGTGGAGGCACCCGATTGTAGCACCCATCCTGGTCCCCGGGACAGGGCCACCACCATCTTCGTCCTGCGGCGCTGGGCTGTGCCTGTCGCCAGTGCATCCCCAGTGGCACCCGGCAGTGGCCCCGGAGGTGGCGCCCGCGCTTGGTCCCAAGGCGCCCTTACCGGTCGCGGGGGTCGATCCACGACGTCTGGCGCGTGTTGTGGTCGATGTAGAAGACGCGGCCGTCGTAGTCGCGCGCCTCCTCCCAGCCGGCGGGCAGCGGCAGCTCGGCGCTCTCTCGGGCCCGCGGCGGCGGCGGC